GGCTGGGAGGGTGAATAGTTGTTAATGGGGACTGTTAGTGACTAACAACAGGAGGTGTGCAGTGGCAGGCTATGTGGTAACAAGGCCTGGTGTGTGGGATGGGGGGCTGGGACGTGGGAGAGTTTAGGCCCTAAAATTATTGAACTCAATATTGAGTCCGGAGGGCTGTAGGGTCCCCAAGCGGAAAATGAGGTGTTGTTCCTCCAGCTTGCGTAGGGCTTCACTGGAACACTGTGGCAAGCCAGAGACAGAGATGTTGGCCAGGGAGCAGGGTGGTGCATTGAAGTGGCAGGCAACAGGTAGTTCAGGGTCTTTTTTGCGAGCAGAACGTAGATGTTCTGCAAAGCGGTCGCCAAGTCGCCAATGTCCAAAATCACATACATTTTATCAGTAAACAAATTTATTGCAGCATAGCCTGACCCAAAAAAGGGGGAGAAGGGAAATTTAAAATTTTCCTGCGACAAGAGCCAAACTACAATAGGTTCAAGAACCACACTACATCCAAATGATGTTGATTTGTTTTTGTAATGTTATTCTATCAAAGAAATGAGACCCCTTCCACTTGTCTACATATCAAGTTTACTAACCTAGTGGTAACACACACATACATAGGGAGTTTCCAAACCTTATTTTGGTGATCCAAGTGCAGGAAATTGAACTCACCATCCCTGGGTCTGAGTGGTGGAAATTAGCTGAGGTTTTACAGGAAGGAATATTGAACATTGGCAGACTAGATGCCCTGAACAACCTTGTATTACTGCTCAGTTTGTGACAGATTTAACAAAATTGAAAAATATCACATCTGCACCTCTATTTGAGAAAGGAGGGGAGTTCGGATTTGAAATAAATTTACCCATGAGAAAATGTTTGATAAGGCACACTAAGTAAAAGGCCTTGCCTGTTAAATGTATCTTGCTTGATAAAGTATCTTTAATGAAATATTTTCGTACCATTTAGAAAAGGAATGGTCGGAAAACAGCATACAGCACAGAACAAAATTTCAAATATGAACTACTGGCAAGTTTGGAGTTCTTGCTGAGAGTGCAAATTTAGACAATGACCCCTGGTGCAGATTTGCAGAGGCCGTGTTTGGCTGCCACAATAAGTTTGTAATGGCTACTGCAGTGTAAGTAGTTCTAAAACTTGAAAAATTTGAAGAGGGTAAAGATAATGCAACTCACCTATTATTTTAAATAAAAACCGAAAGAACTACGGATGCTGTAAATCAGGAATGGTTCTGAGGAAGGGTCACCGGACCCAAAATGTTAACTTTGTTTTTTCCTTCACAGATGCGGCCAGACCTGCTCAGCTTCTCCAGCAACTTTGTCTTTGTCACCTATCATGTTCATTGAGCTGCTTTTGCATTTGGATAGTGCCAGTTAATTTGGACCAGGGAACTGGAAATGATCTGCTCGTTGTACAAAAACAAAATGCAATGAGAACTCAAGCTCCAAAAACAGAGTCAGGGCCTCAGTTTAGTATTTCTTCTGAAAGATGGCACCTTCAATAATATGGCAATCATTTGGAATTGTACTGAAATCTCTGGATGGGTCACATAGTCAAAACTTGGAGTGAGGCTTGCAGCCACATATTTTTAACCTGGGTAAGACAGTACTACCAAAATCAAGCTACAGCATGTCTAGTTTTTAAAATTGAGGTGTACTGCATGTTCTATTTAAGAGCTGTGTATTCGACTGCGAAACAAGACACAGAATCTCCCACACCTGAGTTTTGTTGATTTCAGACATCTTGAATGCTTGAAAATTTCAACATTAAAACCAAGGCCATCTCAAACTTAAATCAGATTAACATATCAACAATGAGATTGTGTGCTGACACAGTACTGTGGTTTCCGTAAGGTGGGAGAAACAATTTAATTTCGAGTTTGGCCATGCTATATACATAAATCTTTTGCTTCATATGCACCAAGTCCAATAACTTCCATTTTTTTGGTCAAACACTATTTGACCTTACTATTTACAACCCTGATCTTAGCAAGATGCAGGGGCAAGATCAGAAGTAGTTTTAATGAATCGTCACCAGTACAAATCTAAGAATTTGACTCCTGATCCCACTCAGGTGGTTCTGTAATTGTTCTGCCTTTCTGAAATTAAGTCAACTCACACACAAGCTAAATTACAAAAAAAAACACAGGATAAAGCTGACACTGCCCTACAATCTGCAAAGGAGTTTTACATTAAAGGCAGTAGGAGATAGGCTGGACGCAAATTGAGATGTATTGTTACCCTATGACAAAATGAAATTTGTTTTAAGAAATGTGTTGCTACTTTGAGGATTTCAGGTTCATTAAGTACTTACCTTTGGCATTTCTATTATTGATATACTCACATTTCCTCATGATTAACGTTCTGGTATAAACTGCCTTCCACTCAACTGAGACAAGGTGTAGCACTGGATGAACACAGCAGGCCAAGCAGCATCAGAGGGGCAGGAACGCTGACGTTTCGGGTCTAGACCCTTCTTCTGAACCTGTCAGGCTGCTTGGCCTGCTGTGTTCATCCAGCTCTACACCTTGTTGTCTCAGATTCTCCAGCATCGGCAGTTCCTACTATCTCTTCCACTCATAACTGTTGGCTTTTCTTATTCAATCCACAGATTTCTAACCAAGTTCATAATTTTATATGTGTTAGTTTTTGGCAAAGTATCTAGTTGGATCTTGCCCTGACACATCTGTAATTAGGAGCTTGATCTCTTTCTTAATGTAGATACCACAATAGTAATTCTCCAAGCTCCCAGAACAACCTTGGCATTCCAAGGAACTTTTAAGTTTTATTTTAATAGAAGCCTCTCTCATTTCCTTATAGTAGGTTCTGAGGGAGGGAAAGGACTACTGTGTTTTTAACATTGGAAGTTCATAATTTTCTTTCAAGTCAACTTCCTTATTTATCAGTGCGGTACCCAATTGTTTGGCCTTTTTCTTTCATTGCCGTAACTAAGGTGACGGAACTAATTGAGTGTTTCCACAGCTCCATCATTCAGAAGACCTAAATAAACCACCAATCAAATCCTCCCTTTCATTGGCTATTCTTTGGTTGTATGAAATGCCAAATGCTTGGCTATGATACTACCAGCATTTCATTCACTCTTAGATTTCTAATTACATGCATATTTCTATTGTGCACTTCATTACCTTATGTTACTGAACGTTCATTTCAGGAATATCTCATTTTTGAAAAAAAAAAATGAAATTGCATATAAATTTGTCAATTCATCTAAGTAACTCCACATTTTGTTCTATCCATGATTGCAGCCTAATCATTCCTTTTTGTAAATCTCTGTCTACTGTGGACAATTTCACCTGTCAACTGCTTTTTCTGATTTGTTTCAGTTAGCTCCCACCAGCTCACAACTCAAATGCTACAGAGAACTATCTTCAGAGCATGCAAGTTGGAGCAGCAGATCCTGCTCGGAGATCCTTCAGCACATAATCCAGGTTGACAATTTAGTGTGGCAATCCCACACTGCATTGCATTGCCAGAAGTGTCTTTCTTCAGCGATGATAAAAGTTCTCTCAAACTTGAGCATAATAGATTCTATTGATCTTACAACAGCAGCAGGGAAACTGTGTCCAGTGTCCACATGAATGTTTATCCTGCAAGTGTGAAAATGGAATGGGAAGAAAAAATATCTGGTTATGGTCTCACTGCTGCTTGCGGGATTTTGCTGCATGCACATTAGGCCATCGGGAATTCACCAGTTTCAAAATCTCCCCACCCCCGGCCTGACACACCCACTCCATCTTCTCTCCCATCTATTCGCCCCACCATTGCCATTGACCAATCCCCACCACTCCCTACCTGCACTCATGTATCACCATCCCACACACCTTCCCCAGCCCCACCTCTCCTCTCTCTATTTATTTCTGAGCTCCCTTACCCCCTCCCCATTTCTGAAGAAAGGTTACGAACCGAAACGTCAACTTTCCTGCTCCTCTGATGCAGCCTGGCCTGCTGTGTTCTTCAAATTAACCTGTTGGACTGTATAATCTGGCGTCATGTGACTTTGGACTTTGTCCACCCCACTCCCACACCGGCACCTCCACATCATACTTCAATGTGCAGGCTCCAGCTGTCAAGCACCAAGCTTCAGAAGGGGAGAGATCATGGTTTATGATGTCTCTCTTCACTGAAGCAAATTTTTTTTTTGGAAGTCAAGCCAATCTTATTTGGGAATTTTGAGGTATTCGTGAAGGATTTCACACAATTTGTCTGGTCAGCTGATTTTGCGTCATTAAAGATTACATCTAACTAGTGTTGACAACCATCCTTCCTGAATATTTTATCAGCTAGAATGTACAACTCAGCCCTGCCCTACCCTGCACTACCTCATAGTTGATGTCAGATCACTATCATAGGTTGTGCCTCAAGCTCACTGTTGTTCTGAATGTTGTTTATTTACATTTAGACTCATAATTAGACTACCACATCAGAACAAACTAGTGATGCGAGTTCCGAGAGTGGGGACATTTACACATTAAAACGTCTCGTCTTCCTGCACTTACTAGCTTTTTGACAACAGGATTATTTCAATAGACTAGAGACTCATGCTATACAAAAGTTCAGAAAAGGACAATGAATGGGAGCAGGAAAATTGCAGGCCCCAAAGCTTGATCGTTACAGAAAACATTTGTGGTTCTCATTTTTTTTTTTAAAATGAGGGGAACGAACTGAAAAAAAACTAGGAAAGAACAATTAGTACATAAAACCACACACTATAGTGAGAAATATGCTTACAGGGAATATTAGCCTGCAAAACAAATGATTAAACAGAACATGGTGTTTCCCTGATGAGTTCAAAAATTCAAACTACATCTAGTTTTAAACAAAAATACGGCCTGTGTGAAATCCAGATTCATTAGTACTAGGAAATCAAGTGCACAAGAGATAAAACAGAGGAGAAGCGGAAGATTAGGCAAGCATTGTAAACGAAGGGAGACAAATTGATAATATAAAAGAAAATTGGTCATTAGAGTGGTTCACCTGTGAGTCTGTATGATCACCTTGACAGAACAAGTTAAGATTCTTCCTTCACGATCTTCGCTAGAAAGGCAGTCATGTCTTATCCAGGTGGTTGAATCCTTCAGACATAGTAGGAACGGCAGATGCTGGAGAATCTGAGATAACAAGGTGTCGAGCTGGATGAACACAGCAGGCCAAGCAGCATCAGAGGAGCAAGGCGGCTGACATTTTGGGCCTAGACCCTTCTTCAGAAGTTGGGGAGGGGAAGGGGTTCTGAAATACATAGGGAGAGGTGGAGGCGGATAGAGGAGAAGATAGGTGGAGAGGAGACAGACAGATCAGAGAGGTGGGGATGGAGCCAGTAAAGGTGAGTGTAGGTAGGGAGGAGTTAGGTCAGTCTAGGGAGGACGGACAGGTCAGGGGGACGGGATGAGGTTAGTAGGTAGGAGATGGGGGTGGGGCTTGAGGCGGGAGGAGGGGATAGGTGGGAGGAAGGACAGGTTAGGGAGGCGGGGACAAGCTGGGCTGGTTTTGGGATGCGGGAGGGGGAGGGGAGATTTTGAAGCTTGTGAAGTCCACATTGATACCATTGGGCTGCAGGATTCCCAAGCGGAATATGAGTTGCTGTTCCTGCAACCTTCGGGTAGCATCGTTGTGGCACTGCAGGAGGCCCAGGATGGACATGTCGTCTGAGGAATGGGAGGGGGAGTTGAAATGGTTCGCGACTGGGAGAAGCAGTTGTTTAGTGCGAACCGAGCGTAGGTGTTCTGCAAAGATGTAGATGGTGGAAGTGTCGGAGGATGATGCGTTGGATCCGGATCCAACGCATCATCTTCCGACACTTCCACCATCTACAATCCGACCCCACCACCAAAGACATTTTTCCCTCCCCACCCTTATCTGCCTTCCGGAGGGACCACTCTCTCCGTGACTCCCTTGTCCGCTCCACACTCCCCTCCAGCCCCACCTCACCCGGCACTTTTCCCTGCAACCGCAGGAAGTGCTACACCTGCCCCCACACCTCCCCCCTCACCCCCATCCCAGGCCCCAAGAAGACTATCCACATCAAGCAGATGTTCATTTGCACATCTGCTAATGTGGTATACTGCATCCGCTGTTCCCATTGTGGCCTCCTCTACATCGGGGAAACCAAGCGGAGGCTCGGGGACTGCTTTGCAGAACACCTACGCTCGGTTTGCACTAAACAACTGCACCTCCCAGTCGCGAACCATTTCAACTCTCCCTCCCATTCCGCAGACAACATGTCCATCCTGGGCCTCCTGCAGTGCCACAACAATGCTACCCGAAGGTTGCAGGAACAGCAACTCATATTCCGCTCGGGAACCCTGCAGCCCAATGGTATCAATGTGGATTTCACAAGCTTCAAAATCTCCCCTCCCCCTAACGCATCCCAAAACCAGCCCAGCTCGTCCCCGCCTCCCTAACCTGTCCTTCCTCCCACCTATCCCCTCCTCCCACCTCAAGGCCCACCCCCTACCTACTAACCTCATCCCGCCCCCTTGACCTGTCCGTCCTCCCTGGACTGACCTATCTCCTCCCTACCCACACTCACCTTTACTGGCTCCATCCCCGCCTCTTTGACCGGTCTGGCTCCTCTCCACCTATCTTCTCCTCTATCCATCTTCTATCCGCCTCCCCCTCTCTCCCTATCTATTTCAGAACCCCCTTCCCCTCCCCCATTTCTGAAGAAGGGTCTAGGCCCGAAACGTCAGCCTTCCTGCTCCTCTGATGCTGCTTGGCCTGCTGTGTTCATCCAGCTCTACACCTGGTTGAATCCTTCAATAGGTTTGTCAATACACTGATAATCAGATCAAAAGAGATATCAATCTCATGAAGCCACCATACATGTATTCTCTTGAATCAACATCACTGGATGAGACATCTCATTTATAATGGCAGAACAGTTCTGAGGAAGGGTCACTAGACCCGAAATGTTAACTCTGACTTCTCTCCACAGATGCTGCCAGACCTGCTGAGCTTTTCCAGCAATTTCTGTTTTTGTTTCTGATTTCTAGCATCCGCAGTTCTTTCAGTTTTTATCAGGTCATTTATATGTTTGACTCTAGACTTCTGAGTTTAGCAGCTGGATCAGGACCTGGTTCTGACCAGGAAACTCCAGGGAAAAGAATGTGAAATGTTTTAGAAATGACAAAGCATTCCTGAAGAGGTCAGACATTCCTGTCAACTCATGGGAGTCCCTGACTTGTGACCAAATAAAAAAAGAGTGAAGGTTCATTTAGGGAGGCACTAAATACAACATGCGTAGAAGCAAGTTGGGGCATTGCAAACAACGTCAAAACCTCAAAGAACTCATTTACCTGACCTCATCCCACACATGGCAGTTTCCACAGATTGCACGTTGGAGCTACAGCTAGTGATCCTTGAGGGCAAGGGATTGCCTAAGAGAATCATTCAGAACCCAGGGTGACAAATTTTTGACCGCATTCCTTCTTTCATATTCAACTTCCAAATATTGATAACGCTGGTTAGATTGACACTTGCATCCACTTATAATTCAGAGTTTAAAGGAATTCACACAATTTTACTTAAAACACACAAGTTTCTCAAGAAAAGCCCAGACAGATTCAACAAATCTGAGTGAACTAATGTTATTCCATTTTCAGTACCTTGCAATCTCTTTTGCCTATTAACTGATTTATAATTAATACTCCAAAGTATTGTGAAAGATATTCAGTATATGTTAGAGTTGTTTTTCAGTTTCTGCTTGCTTAGGCATGCACTAAAAGACTTTTTTTCCAAGTGATGATTGCCATTTACTGAAAGCTAGAGAAATGAGCACATGAAAAAGAGTGTCTCCTTGACTTGCTCGGAAGAGCTGTTCAGCTCAGTTTGGTGGCTAGAAGCTAAATTTAATATGTGCAGTTACTTGCTTTTACACTTTTACATAAAATGAACAAGGATTCAAAGCACAGGCACCAATCCCTCTGGCTGCTTGCACTTATGGAACATCACTTGGAACATTAACCTTCAGGATACACACAATTCTGACATAATATGTGCAATCATTTGGCAGTCACAGTTAATATTCTGAAATTTCCCAACACCAGCAGAAAGAATGCAGACAACGTGAAGGCCCACCACTCCCTACCAGCCTCACTTGCGTGTCACAAGCAACTATGTTAAAAATCCAGCTTGGACAGCAGTGCAGAACTGAAGGGATGCATGTGTTACAGGTGCCGAGTAGAAAATGAAACTAGTTCCTGCCTGTCCATTAAGATCAATGCTGGCAAATCACATGACAGTCAAGAAATGGAATGGAATTGCTCCTCATGCGACTGTTACATTTCCCAGACTTAGGTTTTTGGGACTACGTCTTTGCTAGGTAAGAAAAGGAACTAGAAAGCATCTATACAGAACAAGTGCAAATCATCTTCAAATAACCTACTTCTGAACATGTTAGCAAATCTGAAAATAGGACTGCAGCCATTCGTGACTGAATTTCCATTGCTCCATTAAATGAACGTTGCATCTCCAGTATTATGCAGAGAAGACATTTTCTGGTAATAAGCAGCGTGACCATGTTTGTCATGTGGGGTTGCCATTGGCAACAGGACATTTAAGTGAACAAATTAATAAATTGAAGAATCTCACATCAAATTAAAAGCGCCTGGAACAAACAGATTTTGAGAACTATATTATGTAAAGAAAAATTGAAGAGCAGTAAAGACCAGGTGAACATTCAGAAATCTCTACCACAAAAGATGCTAGAATATTTTCAAACAACCTGTTCAGACATGTTTTGACACACCTCTTGATTAGATGGGATTTGAACCCGTGCCTTCTGACCCAGAGCTAGGGACACTACCATTGCGTCACAAGAGCCTAAACATATACCCCAGAAAGAGGCCACTGGTCCCACTGTGCTGACATCAGTAAAGTAACCACAATAAAAGAATATTAGAGGCAAGTGAGTGAGCTGATAAGTTTGATGTAGGAATGGGACAGGTAAAAGACCAAAATCAAGAAAGTTAGCCACTTAAACACAAAGCTGTATTGGAAGCACAGAGAAGTATTGGTGGTTGCAAGATGGGGATTGATTGTGGATGGTGAGGGAAAGGGACTAAGATTTGCTCAACCATGCAGATAAGACATTTCTATGATTGGAGCGAATGGGATGAGACAATTGGACACCTGAAGTGGGAGTAGTGGCTAGGGGAGATGAGTTTTAGATTAAGATGACAGATAGAATGAAGGGAAAGAGTGAAGGATATTTGAGCATTGAAGCCAACATGGAAGAGAGAGTGGCAAACAAGGATTTTCAAGTGGTGAGCTTGAGGCATGTTGGAGGGTCATGTGCTCAAAATATCTGTTACCAGTGGACTGATAGTAAAGACAAGGCCTTACTTGAAGTTCATACAAAAGACATGCTGTTGCTGTGAATCTGATAAGAAAACCAAGCCCTCTTTGAACTCTCCATGACATCTGGCAGTCAGCCAAGCCTTGGATACTTCTTTGTTGGACTAACACTGTAGGTTTTTCAGTGCACCAGCGCAGTGAACAATCTCTAACAAGTTTCTATTTCTCTGTTCACACATGTCCGAGTATTATTGCAAGATCTCTTTTAGCCAATTCCTCAGTGACACTCCCATCGACATACACGGGCAACTTCTAAAAATGAAAACACTGCTATAAAATCGAACAATTACTTCAACATCTTACACACCTACTTACAGATCTCCACAACTTCCAACTGCTCAAAACTAACAGTTCAATCATGCCCCATATTAACTGTTATTTGCGCATTAACCTCTATTCCAGTGACCTACAGTCGCTCACTGCACACTCACATATCAAATTTAAAGTCACCCTTACCTCCAAATCTCTCCATAGCCTCTACCCCATTTACCTCCTAGAACTCATGCTAGCTATATTCTGACCTTCATCAAATAACACCCTGCCACCACCCCCCAAAAACAAACCCTCTGTCCTCATGTTGGTAAAAAAGCCTTCAGTCTTTCAGTTTGACACTCTGGAACTGAACTTATGCCTGACATGAAAACAAAACACTGGCAATGCTGGAAATGTGAAACAAAAACAGAGAAGTTTGGAGAAACTCAGCAGGTCTGACAGTATTAGTGAGAGATAAACAGAGTTACTGTTAAAAACCAAAATAACTGCGGATGCTGTAAATCAGGAGCAAAAAAAAGTTGCTGGAAAAGCTCAGGTCTGGCAGCATTTGTGAAGGAGAAACAGAGTTAACATTTCGGGTCCGGTGATCCCAGAACCCCAGTTCTGAGGAAGGGTCACCAGGCCCGAAACGTTAACTCTGTTTTTTCCTTCACAGATGCTGCCAGACCTGCTGAGCTTTCCCAGCAACTTTGTTTTTGTTCCAGAGTTACTGTGAAGGCTGATATGACTTCTTCAGAGCTGAAAGGAGGTGGAAAATGGTGGTTTTTATGCTGTTGACAGAGGGCAAAGGAAGAAGAACAAGTGGAACATATTGTGAGGGTTCCGAAAGCAAAAGACTAAAGGACCAAAAACGGTGGCAAAGGAGAAAGAGAGATGGAAAATTGGTATGGGAAGGCACAATGGGAGAGTGAAGCAGCATTAGGAATACAGAAGGAGTGGACCAAGGTGTCACAGAGGTAATGGTCAATGTTCCATATTGATAGTGGAGGGGAAGGGAAGATATGATTGGTGATAGCATCCTGCTGGAGGTGCTGGAACTGGTGGAAGCTGATCCTATGAATTCAGAGACTGGTAGGATCGAAAGTGCGGACAAAAGGCATCCTATCGTTATTCTGGGAGGAAAGAAAGAGGTGAGGGCAGAAATGAGAGATAGGTCAGATATGATTAAGGGCTCTATCAACTGCGGGGAGGGGGGGGAATGTAACCTCACTTGAGGAAAAAGGAGGACATGTCAGAGACACCCTGATGGGAAGGTAGCATCATCAGAACAGATGTGGCAGAGTCAGAGCAACTGGAAGAAGGGAATGGATTTCTTGCAAGAAACAGTTTGTGAGGAAATCCAGTCAAAGTAACTGTGGGAATGGTTGATTTTGTAGTGAATATTGGTGGGCAGCCAATCAACAGAAATGGAATCAATGAAGTTGAGAAAGGGAAGAGGAGAGTCGGATATGGACCAGTGCAACTAAGAGGAAATTGGAAGAAAACTGATAACCTTTTTTTCCCCCCAACTGTGGGTGAGAGTAGGAAGCAGTAATGTCACCACTGATGTATCAGATAAAGAACTGGGTCTCCATATAGGATGGCAACGAGGAATTTTTCACATACGGCACAACAAAACGAGCATAACTAGCAACAATTTGGGTAGATTTTGCCACACCTTTGCCTTAGAAAATGGAAGACAAGTAAAAGGAAAAGTTGTTCAAAGTGAGAATGAGTTCAGTCAGACGAAGCAGAGTGGTGGTGGATAGGGACATTTCAAGGGAGAAGTGGAGACCTTTCAGACCATCCTGTTGGGGATATATTTGAGGAATTGTACATACATGGTGACAAGGAAGTTGCTAGGGCCAGAAAACTGGAAATTGTGGAACTGATGTAAAGTGTCAGAGAAATCATGAACTTAAGTTGGAACAGACTGAACAATAGGGTAGTTGGGGGGAGGGTGGTGGGATGAGGAAAGTGAATGCAGAGTCAAGATAGGAACACAGATTTGGCAGGGTATGAATAGGCTGAATTGTGGTTTTGTGGATTTTATGTTTGCTTTACAACGTTATCTTTAAAACAAAATCAAAATATCAAACGTTTAAATGACTTGTCAATTCTTTTATCAGGGTTTAAATGTCCATTCCATGTCTTGGGTTAGAAAACATCTAAACAAGAATGGAATTATGGAGTCCGGCACCAACTAATGGAGATACCCAGTGGAGATTCCGAGGAAGGAGAAAAAAAGCATGCAACACGGTAAAGTTGTAGGAGCTTCCCCAATCACTAGTATGGCTGATATCTACAAAGAGCAGTTTTAGACGGGCACAAACAGACAGAAACACTCGTATGAGAAGATCAACAGCTTTCCCAGATTAAGATGCATAAACGCACTTTAAACGTAAAGTCAAATTGATAAACGTACATCAGGTGAAGCGGAAATAAAAGTTAAGCACTCAAACAGCAGGACACCCCGTCACAAACAACGTGTGGAAGCTCTCAGCTGAGCCACATTCGACGCAAGTTAAAGTCTTCCATTCTCAGGCAATCCCCAAGCAGGTAGCCTTTAATTTGTAAGGCATCAGAACATAAATAGTTTTTGTTCTGAATTACTTTCAAAGCATAATTCAGAAACAAATACCATATAAAAAACGAAACGCACATGTCACGGATATTTTCTTTTAAAACCGTCCAATCACACCGCGGCAATTTTAACACTTTTAAGGCAATATTTATTAGAGACAGGAAACAATTCGTTCATGAAACTCTTAATTAAAAAGATGGAACTAAGCAGTTATGGATCTTAAAGTCAGGTATGCGAACAACAAAATTAACTTGAATCTTAAAGTCAGGTAGCCGTTTTTCTTCCAATATTTTAAACCAACACCATGCCTCTCAAAGTAACCTTATGCAAAACCAATCGATATAACATTACTTACCAGAGTTCCTAACAAGTTAAATATGTCCTCTCTGTTTAGGTGCTCCACCTGAAAGATTGGCTTTCAGTAATAATGGCTTCTTTTCATACAATCACCTTGCCAAACAAGTTCTTCAACTTTTTTTTCTCTCTCTCCCTCCCCCGAATGCAAAAGCAAACATTTATGACATCTTTTGACCAAGGAAACAGAAGTAACAACACTTCCTACTCCTGTTCGCCTGGGATGGGACTAAAGTCACATGATTCCAGGTGCCGTCAGAAACATCAACCACTTGTCTTTGCTGTACTCCATTACTGTATGAAGCTTCATTTGTAATGTTCTAGGGTTACATTGGGAATTAATTAGGGATTTTATTACAAAATAGTTGCGGCGAAAGTTTAACCGTATAAATCTTAGAAGCGGGTCAAATTTCTTTGAACTGTTAGGGGAAAATGTGGTCATCTATTATGAGACGTGGAACAGAAGTTCCGCCTTTTGAATACCTGAAGGCAGGTAGTCTGAGGTTAAAGCTGCTCAATAAAGGAGAAACAATAAGTAGCTCAACGAGAAAGAGTGCAGAGACTTGATGGAAAGGTATAGGCACATTTTCTCTCATAATGTCATCTTGCGTTTTGTGGTGGAAGCTTGCTAAAAAAAAGTGTTGTTACCAGGTAACAAACGACCCCTGTTCGCAAATTTAAGACAGCTGGTTTCAGCTGGTTTGTATGAAGAAAGAAAAGAAATGATTGACTGAGACTCGGAATTTGAGAAGATAGTTAATACCAGGTGGGTCATAAATGAAGTGTTTCTTTAAATCAGAAAAGAGAGGTTATTCATCCCTTTCCCCCCAAAAACTTCAACATTTTTTTCTCTTTACTATTGTGTCGGCAACACAGGAAACGACCTTTAAAGAGAGCCTTTAATGAACTGTCTTACGGTGTTTGAGAGAAGCACTATAAAACAACATATGATATTGAGCTACATCAGGAGATGACCAAAGCCTAGGTCAAAAAGGTAGGTTTTAAGCAACTGTGTCTTGAACCATGTCTGAAACAACAATTATTAGGGATGTGCAAGAGGATAGAATTGGAGGAGTGCCGATGTCTCAGAGTTATGGAGTTAGAGGAGATTATATAGACCGGAAGGAACAGTTAAGTTGATGGACGGGTTTGAAAACAAGGATGAGAATTCTAAAATCAACATGTTGCTTGACCAGAAATGACGATAGATCAGTGAGCACAGGTGGCCAATAGGGAAGTAGGAGTTGAGAATGCCTCCATGCTTTTCTAAGATATTGAGAAACAGGCAACAGAGTTCTAAAAGTTGACCTCAAGTTTCCACAGAGTAGGGTGTGGAAATCCAGCAAGGAATGGACTGAAATAGTGCAGACTACAGAAAACTAAGGCACGAATGGGACCTTCAGCAGCAGATGAGCTCAGACTAGGCAAAGTTCCATGTTATTGCAGGGATGGAAATAGAAGATCTTAGTGCTGGTGTCAATATGAGATTGTAAATTCATCTTGGAATTAAATAGGACACCAAGAATGACTTGCTGAGATAGTTGTCAAGAAGAGGGATGGCATCTGTGGCTAAGGAATAGAGTGGTGTTTAAAAAATGGTTTTATCCTTCCAATATTTAATTAGAGGCAACTGCTCAACCAGATCAGGATGTCAGATAAACAGTCTGACAATTTAGCAACACAGGAGGAGTTGAGATTTGATTTATTATTGTAACATGTACCAAGATACAGGGAAAAGTAATGTCTTGCAGGCTAACCAGACGAATCATACCTTACACAAGTACTTCAGGACAATAGAACAGAGTGCAGAATATAGTGTTACAGCTACAAAGATGGTGCAGAGAAAGATCAACTCCAATGTATTACAGGTCTGCTCATAAGTCTGATATCTGTGGGGAAGAAGTTATACTTAAATCTGTTGGTATGTGTTTTCAAACTTTTATATCTTCTGCCTGGTGAAAGAGAGTATAACCAGGGCAGGAGCGATCTTTGATTATGTGGGTTGCTTTCCAAAGCAGCGGGAAGTGTAGACAGAGTCAATGGAAGGAAGGTTAGAGCTGAGTATTGTCAGTATACATATGAAAATTAACACTGTGTCTTCAGATGTTGAGTTTAAAATCATTAATCTCTTTCACATTGGTTATTTACTCCAATATGTCCCTCATGCCAATTTCCTCAAGTCTAAGACACATATACTTGAAAGGATTTGGCACCCAACGTACCAATGAGAAATAGGAGGGGCTAAAGATCCTTAAGGACTCAAGACATAATGGTGCAGGAGCAAGGAGAGAAGACAGAACATTTTCAGTACTATGGCTGATAGGACAGATTCAAATATGGAGTTCCAGGAAGGAAGGACATGGATTTTGGAAAACAATAAGAAGTCCAAGGTCTTTGCAGAGGAAAAAGAAGCTGCAGATGGGATGTTCATTTGCCACGATAGAGGGGCCAAGAGTTTTCTTTTTAGAGAGAAGGTATGATGATGGTGTATTTAAAGGAGAGAGGATCAACACCTGAAGACAGACAATTATTTATTTGCAGGTACCAACAGGGGGCCCACGAAAGGAAGTTACATTGTCAACACTTAAGTTGAATATAGGATCATGGGAAGAGGAGATGGATCCAATGGACTGCACAAAGAGGGGATAGGGGAAAAACTTGTGCAAGTTCAGAGGAAGAACATTGGAGGAGGTTCAACTCGGTCTGCTTGTGGAAAGAAGGAATGTCGTAGAGACAGCTGATTGAAACAATCCAATCATCATGACAAAAGTTTGTGAGCTCCTTGCACTTGTTATGGGAGGTGATGGAGGAAGGGATGAGCAAAGCAGCTTAAAGAAGGTGGTCTGCAGTATAGAAATGAAGCTGGCAATATCCTTGCATTCCAGATGATTTTCGAATACTGAATGAACAGGTTTAATAGAAGAGATTAGGATCATGTAATGCTTTAAGTGGGCCAGCCAGATCCTGCAGTGGATGGCTAAGCCAGTTGAGTCCTAAATCCTTTCAAGTTTGTGTGCCTTAGAATTAAGGGAATGGGCATGAGAGCCATATTGGAGTAAATAGCCAGTGTGAAAGAGATTAATGATTTTAACCTCAAAGATTAAGGTGAGGGCAAATATTAGAAAATCAGTAGGTGCAGAAATGTTGTAGTGAATGGACAACAAAGATCAGATAATTTAAACTTTGAAATTGCAGTTTTAAATTCATTATTGGGTAGATTTTCCCAGGTTCTGATGCAGAGGGTAGAGTTTTGAGGGTGAAAAGGCACATATGGGTGGCGAGTGATCCAAGGAGGGGTTCAGAGATTGAAACTATGGGAGTAGTGAGACTAAGTGACATGAAAAGATCAAAGGGATGGACCTGATAATAGTTTGGGAAGTTTTATGTGGAGGGAGAGATTCAGGGAAGAGGAGAATACAGTGAACTCAGAGGAAAGTGGATGAGTTGAGATGGAAGTTGAAAGCAACAAGGAAGAGCAGCTGTTTGGTGCAGAAACTGAAGTAGGAAAGAGATCCTGATAATAACGATTTTAGGTGGAAAGGTAACAAAGAAATGTGAGAGTGATGGAACAAGGTCCAAAGGAGTAGAGAGTCAAAGCAGTGGAGCTTTGAGCAATGTGTAATGCTGTGATAAATGCTGTACCACCACCACAACAGTTTTGACCGGATGAGTGTCAGAAGATGCAGATGGGTGGGTAAAATTCATTAAGGAGACTGAGGCAATCACAGCTCATTCAGGTAAGATATTAATGGCTATATTTGCTTTCTACCCAAAAAACAAGGATTGCATTGTGTGATTAACATATGCCCATTGATTGCATGCCAACATCAATTCTTCAATCTGCCTGCTCATTTCTTTTCTACTTATTCTCTCGTGGGGTGTGGGCATCGCTGACTGTCCAGCATTTATTGCCATCACTAGTTGCCATTGAGAAGGTGGTAGTGAGCTGCCTTCTTTAACAGCTATTGTGCATGTGATGTAGGTTGACCCACAATACCGTTAGAGAGGGAATTCCAGGATTTTGATTCAACAATATATATGTTAGTGATATATTTCCAAGTCAGGATGGTGAGTGGCTTGGAGGAGAACTTGCAGGTGGTAGTGTCCCCATGTATTTGCTGCCCCTGACCTTCGAGATTGAAGTGGTTATAGATTTGAAAGGAGCTATCTATGGACCTTAGGAGAATTTATGAAATGCTTCTGACAGTTTGTACACATGGCGGCTACTCAGTGTCAGCGGTAGAGAAAATGGATGTTTGTGAAAGTGATGCCAATCAAGCAGGCTGCTTTGTCTTGGATTTTGTCAAGCTTCATGAGGGTCGTTGGGGCTGCACTCATCCAGGCAGATGGAGACCATTCCATCACACTCCTGACTTGTGCCTTGTAAATGGTTGATAGACTTTGGGGAGTCAGTCGGTGAATTACTCATTACAGTATTCCAAGCTTCGGACCTGCCTTTGTAGCCAATATATTTATGTGGTGAATCCAGTTTAGTTTTTGGTCAATGATAATCCTCAGGGCGATAGTAAAACTAATATATTTTAAAGGATGGTGGTTAGCTTGTTGCACCTCAGAGGAACTCCTGTGGAGATGTCCTGGAGCTGAGATGACTGACCTCCAATAACCACAACCATCTTGCTATGTGCCTGGTGTGACTCCAACCAATGGATGCACAACAAGAACTCACCAAGATTACTTTGATAGCACCTCCTAAGCCTGCAACCTCTGGCATTAAGAAGGACAAGGGCAGCAGACATTATGGAAACATCAATATCTGCAAACTCCCCTTCAAATCACACATCATGTTAACAATATACTGCATCACTGTCTGTTCAATGTTGCTGAGTTGAGAAACTCCCTTCCTAAGAGCATTACAGTCCTTGTGTGAAGAGATACCCACAACTTTGTTAGGAGGCAGTTCGTGAGCCAGCAACCGTGAAGAAATGGTGACATAGCGTCAAATCAGGACAATGTTTTTTTTCTTTCGTTTTTCAACTCTAAACTCTATGAATCAATCAATCACATTAACAAACGAGTGTTAGAACTTTGCGTGGCGTCACATGAAATGTGATCCCATGGCTTACCCTTAGTTGTTAGTTTTCATGTGAGAGTTTGAAAAGAATGCTGTTAGGATAATTGATTGTCCGTGGGGAAATGGTCATATATCTTAGTAGTTGAAGAAAGTATGTAGTTCTTTCTGATTTGCACCACATGTGCAGCAAATGAAAGTTCATTGGTTGTCTTTTGGTAATGGAAGGTCATATAGTGAATTTTTGATTTTCCTCTCAGGATCTTAGTATTGTCCTCCTCTATGGAGGAGCATTCATAAAGAGGCCACACCTATTTTTGGTAAAATAAAGCAAAACAAACTGCATCTAACAATGGAGTAGGTATATAAGAAGACATTTTGAGCGAAGCCCTTCTCCATAGGGTCAGATTTATTCAACAAGTTTCAAAGGTGTCAGTCTCCATACTCTGAACTTTGCCAAACTAATAGGATTAAGATTTCATCAAATAACTTCACTGATCAGAGGAACTCTGGACCCACTTTGTTGATAAACGAGCATATTACTGCCCTCATTTTATGATGTCGATTGTATTTGAAAGGTTAAAAAAGGGTGCAGTTAAAAGAAGACAATAGTAAACCAGGTGAAGAAATTGTACATGACTCGTGGAACATTACAATCTCCATGTCAATTTCCTATGTAGAAACATTGAAGATAGGAGCAGAAGTGGGCCATTTGGCCCTTCGAGCCTGCTCCACTGTTCATCAAGATCATGGCTGATTGCCCAATTCAATAGCCTAATCCTGCTTTCTCCCAAAAGGTGGTGAATCTGTGGAATTTGCTTCCCCAAAGTGCGGTGGATGCTGGGACAATGAGTAAATTTAAGGAAGAGTTAAACAGATTTTTAATGGGTCAAAGGGTAATGGGGAGGAGACAGGAAAAAGGGGGTGAAGAGCATATCAACCATGATTGAATGACTGAGCAGACC